AGAAATAGAGAGTGGGAAGTCGTGGAGGAGGCAGTTGAAGGAGATAGATTGCAGGGATTCCATGTGATAGTATTCCTCAGTTGATGTAGAATGTGATTTTCGGAGGACGAGAGCTTGATCTTACATGCGATCCCAATTTTCCACTGACCCTGTTCGCTTTAGAACGAGAGCTTGAACTTGATAACGACAACATAATATCTTTTCTTCCACGCTCAATCTCAGCTTGAATGCCCTAATTTGATAAACCCTAGTTTCCAATCTCACCCAATCTCATCTTGAATCCCCTCTTTTATTCTCCCAAATGTTTTATCCATGTTAGAAAATCCGTGCCACATCAACAGCTAAAAAATAGTTTAAGTCATCACGTGTCATGCACGTGACGAGCTCTCATCGGAAAACTGGTCGCCGACGTGAAAAATAGCCTTGTTGGTAAGTTGAATCAATTAAAACACCTTAAAGTAGGTTTGCCTAATTAAAATACCTTCTTGGTAAATGGGGTAGAATTAAAATACCAATATGCGTATTTAGCCCATATAAATATATAGCTTGAGTCTTAATATTTTCTTGATTCTTGATGAAGCTTCTAATTTGATATTGTGCTCTTGATAGCTTTGATTCACCAATTTGTCTCCACCTCCTTGATTTCATCGTTGTAGCTTGATAATCCATCCAATCCTCCAATAAAGGTCCTAATGAGCTTGATATTCTTGTAATCTATAATATTACTCAACAAGTAATTAGTACTAATAATGGTGGTTGTAAATCATCATCAAAATATAAAGGCTAACTAGAATGACCCCGCGAGAGTCGACATCCGCTCCAACAAGTTCGACAGGAGGGACAAGAGGAGGGAGCTAGCGCCCAAACCTACTCTCACGGTCCTTAACACCTCTCTAGCTGAAGTCCTCAACATGGCCCGGAAGGACGGACACCTCAATGAGCCCCCTCGTAAGATGAGGTCGGACCCTCTGAGTAGAGATACTAGGCAGTACTTCTGATACCATAGGGCTTACACTCATCTCACCAATGACTACCAGATCCTACAGAGGGACATAGAAAACCTAATATGAATGGGGTATCCAAAAAAGCTTGTCTCTTGAAGAGACAAAAGAGAAGCTGCCCTAGCCAGGGCCAACAGGAGGTCTCGTTCACGATCACCTCACCCCCGACCACAAGAGGATAGTTGACCCCTCGAGCCTAGCCATAAGGGGATCATCAACACTATTAGCGATGGTCTAACAATTAGAGGGTCATCTAATGACACTCAGAAGAGGTATGCCAAGAAAGCATTGCGGGTCAATGTATGCAACAAAAAGGCGAGAGCAGAAGAGCCCATCTCCTTTAGCGACCCTAACCTAAAGGGTGTTGAGACGCCCCTGTTTGTGTTAGAAATTGTTGTTTTCATTGTAGAACTTATTACAACTTATTTCGTTAAAATACGTTCAAAACAAGTAGAAGTTGATCTTTTTATGAGATCTCTTTACACAATAAAAAAAACTACAACTTCTTTCAAACAATACACAGATCCTATTTATTAGTCTCTGCTTGCGTGGGATCTTCGCTTGTGCCGGGGTTTGTTCGTGGACTGCCTCAAATCTGGATCTGGTCGATAGAATATTTGATCAAAGCTCCTATTTTACAAAGAAAGTATTCGTTGAAGTACTGATATCAACCAAGCAAAATCAGTACTCTTATCGAGATAAAGACTAAGCCTAATCTCAAGGAAAGGGGGGATGGGGCTTCAGATCCTTTGAAAGACTCCTTCTTTATGCCGAAGTTCGTTGGGATCTAGCTAGCCTCCTATGAAATTTTGTGCTCCTTGACTCTTCAATCCAATAGCACCTCGTCCGCTTGATAAAAATTTTAGATCTGGAGAAATGAGCCCCTTGGCATGTATTTATAGGGTCTTGGATGCGGTTATTTGGATGAGAATGAAGGATTTGGCTATATCTTCGTTATAAACAGGCTAACCATATTTGGATATGATATTAAGTCAGTTGGGATGTTTTGGAATGAACAAACCCTGAAAAATATTAATAAATTCGTCAGAAACGTGTTTTGGGAACTATCTGTGCAGGACGGATGTTGGTGACCCGCGTGGGTGCGGGACACCATGTGGTGTCCCGCTTTTGTGCGAGACACCAACTGGTGTCCTACGTCTTCGTGAGACACCAAGTGGTGTCCTGTGGCTGCACGAGACACCAAGTGGTGTCCCATAGCTATGCGAGACACCAATTGGTGTCCTGTGGTTGCGCAGGATAGTTCTGGACTTAATCATATCTTTGGCCTTCCAGACTTGTATTTTCCACTGTTTTGCGTATTTCGTCATTTTGTTGACTTGTACGCCACAGCAAATTACTTCATGCACTCATTAGCTTCTTTATGGCCTTGGATGATCCTCTTTGGTTCAGATGATCGTCTTCGTTTAGTCTTGAACCGCATGCAGGAATCCATAGGTATTTTTTAACGCCTACATCCCTATGATGACCTTATCATCATAACAGTAGGGATTGACGGTTACCAGGTGAAGAAAATCATGGTCAACACAGGGAGCTCCATGGACATCCTGTATATCGATACCTTCAACTAGGTGGGCATCGACAAGTCCCAACTACAGTCATGTAGGGGCACCCTCATCATATTCACTGAACATACCCTCCTGGCCGAAAGGATGATTACTTTTCACCTGACGGTCAGAGAACATCCCCAACAGTCCACTGTCTAGCTTAGTTCTTGATGATGAACCTCAAATTAACCCATAATGTCATCTTGGGCCGAATTGCCATCCACCTCTTATGGGCCATCCCTTCCATACATCACCAGATGCTAAAGTTCCCGACTCCTAATGGAGTCGGAGTAGCTAGGAGCAACCAAAAAGAGGCCAGGTCCTGTTACCTTCTCTTGACTAAGAGTAAGGGGGTGCAAGATACCCTGCCTATTGAGGACGACTCAAGTGGAAGAGCTACAGGAAGTATCGATTGACCAAGAAGAGGTCAAGATCAGATCCAGCCTCGAAGAGCCCCTACAGGGAACTTTGATTGAGTTTTTGTTGGTGAACACTGATGTATTCACCTGGGTACCCGAAGATATGCCAGGGACTACCCCCGCCCAAGTAGATAAGCCATGAGCTAGCAGTCGATTGGCACACCAAGCAAGTTTGATAGAAGAAGAGACATCTCAGCCCTAAGAGATAGAAGGCGGCCGTTGATGAAGTCGAACGGCTCCTTAGAGCTGGTTTCATTCAAAAAATATAGTACCCGAAATGGCTAGCCAACGTTGTGTTGGTGAAAAAAGCTCTCAACAAATGGAGGATGTGCATGGACTTTACCAACCTCAACAAAGCCTGTCCCAAAGATAGCTACCCCCTCCATTGGATTGATCAACTGGTCGACGAGAGTGCTGGACATGAGCTACTCAGCTTCATGGATGCCTTCTCCAGCTATAATCAAATCTTCATGGCTAAACATGACTAGGAGAAGACCTCTTTCACCATCAATCAGGGAACCTATTACTATAGAATGATGTCGTTTGGTCTCTAGAACACTGGGGCCACCTACCAGAGACTTGCTAACAAGATCTTCAACCCCCAGATCACAGCATAGCCTATAAATTCAACTACTCAATTCTTAATCCTCAATTTATTAGAAGCATCTTCAAAAGTAATATATCAAGAATTTTAAACATAAGAATGTTTAGTTAAAATTAAATAAAAAAGGGGAAAGTTTTTAGTTTAATCTACTGCGGATACCCTCTTTTTTTCTGTAGTTGCTCGATTCTAGTCAATCAAATCCGTTGAATTATTGTTCATATTGAAATGAATCCTTTTTTTCTGTAGTTGCTCGATTCTAGTCAATCAAATCCGTTGAATTATTGTTCATATTGAAATGAATTGAGATTGATGAGGAGCTAGTCAATGATGTTCGAACATGTACTTTTTTGAGTGTCTATTTATTTTCTATAGGTATCTATGGATTGATCACAAGTCAAAACATGGTTAGGGCACTTATGTGCCTTGAACTTATACTAAATTTGGCCGTAATTTGGAGGCCTAAGTGGACGACCTACTGATGAAGTCACGACAGGCATCGACCCATATACCAGATTTAGAAGAGATATTCTCTCTCATTTGGTGCTATTGCATGAAGCTTTATTCAGCCAAGTGTGCCTTTGAGGTGCAATCGGGAAAGTTCATTCGGTTCATGATTACCCAGAGAGGTACTGAAATTAACTCGGAGAAGATAGCCACCATAGAGCGACTACCCGAACCTCGCACATTAAAGAATGTCTAGAAGCTAAATAGGAAGATAGCGGTACTAGGCTGTTTCCTCTCAAAATCTGCCAAAAGGAGGCTCCTATTCTTCAAGACATTGAGAGGAAGTAAGGAACTAAAGAAGAGCATGAGTTCGACGGCTGAATGTAGTGCAGCTTTTCAGGACCTCAAGGCATACTTGAGTACTAAGACCCTGCTGAGCTAGCCCATGGGAGGGGAGAATTTGTACCTATATTTGGCTTTTTCCCCCAAAGCCGTCAACTCCATTCTAATTCGAGAGTAAGAGAACAGCTAGAAGCCCATGTACTATGTCAGCCGGATCCTAAAAGCGAGCGAGCTCAACTATCCTCTCATAGAGAAGGCTACATTCATCCTTATCACCACTGCAACGAGACTCCACCCCTACTTACAAGCCCATTCCATAATTGTACGAACAAGTTTGCCCCTAAAGAAAGTACTTGGCAGTGCTACAATCTCTAGAAGAATGGTAGTCTGGCCAGTCAAACTCAACAAGCATGATGTGCAGTTCGAGCCAAGGATAGCGATCAAAGCTCAAGCACTCGTCGACTTCCTCATCAAGTTAACTTCACCAGATGACGAGCCGGATGCACCCTCGTTGCCCACTTAATAGAAGGCTCCAACACCTATAGTAGTCTAAGCGTCCGCCACACAAACCCGTCACACCCTAGCATATGATTCATCAGAGTTTACTTCTTGGTAGTTGTTGAAGGTGGACATATCCTCCAGAGAAGCCGACAGGGGAGCTGGAGTGGTCCTGCGTAGCCCAGGCAGGTTGATGCATGAGCAATCCATTACTTTTTCATTCTCGGTCTTGAAAAATGAGGCCAAATATAAAGCTCTCCTGGCTGGTCTTCGAGCAGCCCTAGCGCTAAAAGTTAAGCGCCTCTACATATTAGTTGACTCCCAGCTTATCGCCCATCATGTGAATGGGCAATACACGATAAAAGATCCAAGAATGGTCATGTACCTAAAAGTGGCTAAGGAGCTATTAGCCAACTTCAAGGACTTCAAGATAGCCTAAGTTCCCACGCCCTTAATGCTCAGGCAGATGCCCTCTCCAAGCTAGGATCAACAAGTTCAGGAAGCAGCTCAGGGCCTATCTATGCCAACATCCTTGAGCATCCCAACATCTTGAAGCTTCAAAAGATAGTTATGCAGACCGAGACACCCATGGTACCTTGTTGGATGGACCCCATCATCCTTTTCCTAATGTAGGGTACCCTACCTACGAACACTACCGAAGTTAAGTGTTTTCAAACAAATGACCACCGCTATGTCATGATAAACGATCAGCTCTATCGAATGTCGCATTCTAGCAACGATGTGGGGCCTTATCTTTGAGGTCTCTGGTCATCGAAAGCCAGCTATGTTCTTAGGGAGATCCATAAAGGAACATGCGGGAACACCCAGGGGCCAGAAGCCTTGCACAGAAAGTCATTTGCCAGGGGTACTACTAGCTAACCATCTTAGTCGAGTCTAGACGACTCACCTCCCTGTGCTAGAAGTGCTAGTTCTACTCGTCCATCCCGTGAGCAACAGCCACTGAGCTCACTCTGATTTTGAGTCCCATCCTATTTACTCAGTGGGGGTTGGATTTGTTGGGTCCTCTCCCCATTGCTTCTGGGCAGCGAAAGTTTTCGATCATGGAAATTGACTACTTCACTAAATGTATCGAAGCTGAGCCCCTAGCTAAGATAGGTGATAGCAATGTCGTAAATTTTGTTTGGAGGTCCATTGTCTGCTATTTTGGTGTGCCCCTCTCTTTCGTGACATATAACGACACTTAGTTCAACAACGGAGGCTTCCAAAACTTTTGTGAAGAATACAACATCCGCCTCAAGTTCTCCTTGATCGCCCACCCTAAATGTAATGAACTAGCTGAAGCCACCAACAAATGCATTCTCCAAGATCTAAAGAAGAAGGGGGATGACGCAGTTGGAAATTTGGTCAAGAAGTTACCGAGTATTCTATGGTCTTAGTACACAACTCACAAGAACTCAATGGGGAAAAGCCCTTTAAGCTAGCCTATGGGGCCGAGGCGGTCACCCCAGTAGAAGTCGGCATGCCAATGATCCCTCTACAACTCTTCGACGAAGACTTTAATTCAGAAGGGCTTCAGGTCAGACTTGACCTCCTGGTTGGAGTCCAAGAGAAAGCGCTTCGGTCCCAGGTTATCAATCAGCAACAGATCTCTTGGAACTACAACAGCAAGGTCCGACCCAGTAGATTCAGCGTAGGTGTCCTCATCCTACGCAAAGTCACTTTTGACAAAGATACTAGGTGAGACAAACTGGTTCCCAACTAGAGGGCCCTTACTGTTGGCCTTCTTGTTTTGATGATAATTTATAAACAATTTACATCTAATATTGTTTATCTAGTGTTTGTGTTTTATATTTATTCTAGGTAAACAATATGTTGGAGGTTGGATGGATTGCGCCATAATAATCATATCAAATAGAGGTTGGTGGAATAGTGGTTGAAGCCTTGTAATTCAAGTTAAAGATTCAAGTTCAAGCTTCATTCGCGAGTGTACCAAGATAGAGCTTCGTTGAAGATCACAAGCTTGGGTAAAATTAGTTTTAGGTTTTATATTATGTGTGTTAGTACTTTAAGCTCAATCATATACACACATACACGTTTTAGTTTTGTATATATATATATATATATATACATAAGTTAAGTTTTGGTTTCTATGTATATTTAGTTATATATATACATACATGGTTTTGAGTTTTCAAGTTTTAATATGAAATAATTGAATATAATTAGAAAATATATTTTTTGTTTCATACTTATATGCATATATATGATTTCATCTATATCAATTTTATATAGTTTAATGAAATCATGTTTTAGTGCATTATATGTGTATTTTGATAAAATATTATATTCATTATTTATAGACTTCATAACAATAGTATACATCTTTCTACAAGTCTATAAAATTATTTTGTATTGTTTCAAAATATGGTTAAGCTAAAATGTCAAAATTCATATGTTCACATTTTCATGTTTTGGACTATTTTACAAAATGATGATATTTTTCATTTGGGAGGTCCTTTCTAAAAACCAGTTTTTGTAACATGTGTATTATCATGTCTACAATCATTTCTCAAAGTTTTATATTTTTTGGAATTTATTTAATATTTTTAAACAGGGTTTTAAATCAGAAAAACTATTTTCAAACTATCACTTTCATATATCAGTTTGCGGTCGACCGCCACGGTCGACTGCGCCTTTGTTTTTAACCTACGGAGTCAACAGCAACATTCGCGGTCGACCGCCACGGTCGACCGTCAGCTCAAAAATTCCCACGGTCGATCACCACGGTCGACCATCAAAGTTTCTAGAATTTTCTGAGTCTCGAATGTGGCTCGCGGTCTCCCACGGTCGATCACCACGGTCGACCATCAAAGTTTCTAGAATTTTCTGAGTCTCGAATGTGGCTCGCGGTCAACCGTGAGATTTTCACGGTCGACCGTGAGATTTTCACAGTCAATCACCGTTCACTCCAACAGTCATTGTGTACAGAATCTGATTTCCGATTCTGTTGGTTTTTTTAGGGGTGGGCAAAAACCGAAAAAACCGGTTCAACCGAAAAAACCGCCCAAAAAAACGGACCGGTTAACCGAACCGAATTAAATGGATGAGAAGAAGTCTCTAAACCGCCCGAACCGAATTAAATCGGTTTGGATCCGGTTTGAACCCCTGAACCGCCCAAAAAAAAACCGACCCGAATTCTGTTGGGCGGTTTAGAGACTAAACTTATACCTCAAAACTTTTCCTGTTATCATCCAATAGATTCAAATGGCGTAAGGAGCAATTTCAAGCAATGAGTACAACAATATCAAAAAAAAATATCCTTGAGAACTAAGTAAAGATTCAAATCAATCCAGAAAATTTGTTATGCACATGATGCACTTACAAAAGATGCATATGCTACATTATATGAACAATATCATACAAAACATCACTCCCCCGTGTAATTAAATAAACTTAAACTTTAGTTAAAAAAATTCGCAGAAAAGATCTTGAGAATTACATAAGATCCAAATCAATCACAAAATGTGTTATGTACATGATACTTACAAGAGATAAGCATGCTGTATTATATGAACAACATCTTTAAAACATCAGTTCTCTGCGTAATTATATCAACTCAAAACTTTATTCTAAAGATGATAACCAGTCTAATAAAGCTTTGTTGGCAAGCTCAGGAACCTCATCATGAGGACAATGCCTAGCTTGCAAATTCACAACAGAAGTCTTTGGATAGAACTCTTTGTAAATTCAAAACCAACACCGAACCGAACCGAACCGAATTTCGGTTGGGCCAAATATTCGGATGAAGGGGAAAAAATCTGGATCTGGATGCGAGTTTTGAGAATTCAAAAAATTCAGATTGGATGCGGATTGGGCATAAAACCGAACGGAACCGAATATGCCCAGCCCTAGGTTTTTTGGTCATTTCTGTTGGGCTTTTGGCTGAGGTTTTGGGAGGCTATAAATATCCCATTAATCTCAGTTCTCATGGCAATCCAAGAAGTTTTTTAAACAAGAGTTTTAACAAGGGTTTAAGTGTTGTTTAAGTTTGTTTAAGAAGCTTTTAAGCATTTGAGAGTTTGAGTTTGTGAAATCAATTTCACAAGAGCTTGAGGAGATCATTTATTGGTATTTGAGCATCCAACTCTTTTCCTTCCACTCTTGATATATTGAGAAGTTTTCTAAACTCAATGTAGCTTTATATTTTATATTGTTTGGTTATCATTTTATTAAGCTAGTATTCATATTGAGTTTAGTTGATTTTGTTTTCTCTTTGTTTACACACACACAACCATTGAGCTTATTGTATTTATATCCATAGTATAATTGGATTGTGAGATTGTGTAACTTCGAGAGTGAGCTTATAATTCATTCTTATCCATTGTAGAGAACAAACACTTTGTACTGTGCTTATTGTGAGAATCACTTTGTAATACACTTATACACTGAGAGAAGTGTGTGGCGAGAGTCGGGGATCGTCCCAAGAGGAGTAGCATCGGTTTTCAAACCTAGGAAAAGGTTGTATCCGAGCACTTGAGGGAGACACGTCTAGTTCCAACACTTGAGAGGGTGTAGAGTGGGATTACAAGAGTGTGTTAGTTATAGAGTTTTTGGTAAAGTAGAAAACCGTATTGTGTGGTGTAAAAGTTGTTCGGGTAAGCGTAAAAAACCCGGTTGTGATAGTGGATTTCTCCCCGGGAGTGGGGAACAGAGACGTAGGACGAAAGGTCCGAACTCCGTTATCAAATTGTGTGTTTGTATTGTTTATTTACACTATCACTCTTATCTTGTTTATGTTTATTTCACCCTTGTGTTAGTTTATATATCCTTGCATATATTTTTATCATATAGGATATATCTTATTGTTCATATTGCTTATCCTATCTCACATATCTTGTTGTATTTTATACTTGCTAGGATAACTTGTTAATTAGCTTTAATTGGCATTAAATCAGATTAGATTAGCATAAGACCCTAATCACCCCCCCAGGGTCTAACAATTGGTATCAGAGGTTGCTGCTCTTTGATTTAAGGTCTAATCACCTTGAGTTAAAGATTCAAGTTATCTTATTTATGCTAATCTAGTTATTATTATATTTGCCTTGCTTGCATACATTCACATATATATCATGAATATGGGTGCATTTCGTTTAGGCTATGATCCAAATATTGCTTCAAAATATTAAAATTTCCCTTATGCTCAGTGGTGCTCTAAATTTAAAATATTTGTTGAATCTAGAAATATTAACTTATGGAAAGTTATTGATTGTGCTTACATTGTGCCCACATTAGAGAAATCCAAGTGGAGTGATCATGATAATAAAATATTTACAATGAACAAGCTTTTGTTAGAATTTTTGCTTAATACTTTTGACTCATCCTTTTCTAACAAATTTGTTCATTTCGATAGTGCTTAAAAATTTTGGAAATTTATTAAAGCACATCAAGAGGACTTGGAGGAAATCTGACAAGCTTTGG